AAGATGGGGTTTCACCATGATGGCCAGGCTGGTTTTGAACTCCTGACCTCAGTGATCCACCCACCTCGGCCTCCCAAAGTGCTAGGATTACAGGCGTGAGCCACCACACCCAGCCGAGATTTTCTTAATGGTGTATAGTATATGGTCTGTCTTGAAGGGTGTTCCGTGTGCATTTGAGAAGCATTTGTGTTGTTGGTACTGGGTAGAGTGTTCTAGCCTGTTTATAAAGTCTAGTTATAGTGTTGTTCTTATCTTCCATTTCTTTGTTGATCTTCTAGTTGTTCTATCCATTATTGAAAGCAGGGTACTGGAGTCTCCAACTGACATACTTTTTTTGTGTGTGTGAAAAACTTCAAATACATATGAAAGAAGAGAGAAGGCACTTACTCATCACCAGCTTGTATCAGCATCTCACCAATCTTACTGAATCTGCCCTCCCTTACCTTTTTTCTTTTTCTTCCCCAGAGTATGTCAAAGCCCATCCCAGATGTCCTAATGTTTTAATACTAAATGCTTCTGCACAACTCTAAAAGACAAGGATGTTTCTAAGCCCAGCCCCAACGCTGTCGTACCTCACAAGTTTCATGCTAATTCTTCAGTGTCTTCTAGTCCCAAGTTCATGCGCAAGTGTCCCCAGCTGTCCAGGCACCCTCTTCAGGGCTCCTTCATGTTTCACAGTGACAAGGGATCCTGAGTTGGGCACCCAGGGCAGGCTCATTGGAGGGGGTTTGTAAAGGAAGGCTTTGACCAGGGTGTGAGGGTGCAGGTCCTCACGAGCTCCTGTTTGGTCTGTTTCAGGAACAAATGTGGTATCTGGGGCTGGCGGTCTGAGAAGATGGAAACTGTTAGCGGCTACGAGGCCAAGGCAGGAGAGGCTAGTGGTGGGGGTCTGGGGGTAGATGAGGTCCAGGAACTCGGCTGGTCTCCACATCCATCCCAGAGTAGCCCTTGGGCTCTGGAAACCCTGAGCATTTGTGGGAACTCAGTGGGCCTGAGTGCCCAGCCCCTGTGGAGTACGGAGGGCTCACCCACATCACGGGCCCCACCCAGGGTACCGAGATCAAATGAGGAGCGTGTTCCTCTTGACCCTGGGGCTGCATCTTCTCACTGTGACTTCCCGGGGTTCAGACCCTGCCACCTCCTCCATTGTGGGGAGCAAGATCGCACCTGCCTCTGGGACAGGGGGACGTGGGTTCTGCACTGGTGAGGCTGTGTGGGGAGCAGGCTCTGAGCCCCCAGCTTCCTCTGTCCCCTTCTCCCCAGGTATACAGCGCCACCAACGTGGAGCTGGTGACACGCACACGCACGGAGCACCTCTCTGATCAGGACAAGTCGAGGAGCAAAGGTAAACCCAGGTGCGCCTGCCTGCTGCCCAACCACACCGTGCGGTGGGGTCTCCCTGGCCAGGGATCAGGGGCCAGAGTTTCCTGGGATGAGCTGGGAGGTCTCCTCATTCCCATCTGCCCCTCTTCCCCCGGACAGGAGGCTCCCAGGGTGGAGGTAGGTGGGGGCAGTGCAGGGGTACTGGTCCCCTCATGGGCTCCCACCCCTTCTCCGCAGGGGGGAAGACTCCGTTCCAGTCCTTCCTGGGGATGGCCCAGCAGCACTCCTCCCACACTGGGGTGAGCCGGGGCTGGGCTGAGACAGGGCTGGCGAGGGCTGAGCCTGGGCAAGAGGGTGCCCTCCGTCGCCCTGATTGCTGAGTCTGCGCTGGGACCCACACAGGCCCCCGTGCAGCAGGCAGCCAGCCCCACCAACCCCACAGCTATCTCCCCTGAGGAGTACTTTGACCCCAGCTTCAGCCTGGAGTCACGGAACATTGGCCGCCCCATCGAGATGTCCAGCAAAGTACAGAGGTGAGGTCTGAGAGTCGGCTGGGGACTTGCCTTGGGATGGGGGCCCCTCCTGGAACCCCTGAGCTCTTGCAGGCCCCTGTCTGGACCTGTCCTAGTGAGGGGCGCACTCGCTCAGCAGCTTCTCTCCAGACTCTGCTCCTGGAGGGCAGGGATCCTGTCTGCCTTATCCATGGTCCTCAGCCCTTAGCAGGGGCTTGTCCTTGATGAATGGATGGTACCACCTGTGTATGGTTCTCTATTGAATTTCATGAGTATCTGCTGGGGCCAGCGTGACAGTGGGAAGGGCCTCAGCAGTGTGGCCTGGGAGTGGAGCGACCGCCTGGGTGGACAGAACAGTCAGGCTTGCCTCATGAGGAGCGCTGAGCAGGTGTGGCTGGTAACGGCGGGCGCAGCACCTGCACAAGCCCGGCGCTCTCCCAGCCGCCTCAGGAGGATTATCTTAGCCACCCACGGTCTCTGGGATTCGAACCCTGGACACGAAAGTTCGGCACCATGTGAGCTGGTGGCCAGCTCTGGGCGGAGGCAGAGAACAGAGCTGTGACCAGGCCCAGGGAGAAGCCCACAGCCTGGCACCTGGCCTCCTTGTCCAGACCAGATGAGCAGGCATGAAACCCTCAGGAACCCCAACCTGGGCCACGTAGACAGGACACCAGCTCCCAGGGGAGGCGGGCAATGGCATCTGAGCAGAGCAGGGCACCTCAGGCCAGGTGGAAGGTGGGTAAAGGCAGCTGCCCACTGGCCAGAGGGCAGGCCTCAGTGGAAAGGCCACTAGCGGCACCTCACCATGTACTGTGGTTGGCTGGGCAGGTTCAAGGCAACACTGTGGCTGAGTGAGGAGCACCCACTTTCCCTGGGTGACCAGGTGACACCCATCATCGACCTAATGGCCATCAGCAATGCTCACTTTGCCAAGCTGCGTGACTTCATCACCCTGCGCCTCCCACCTGGCTTCCCCGTCAAGATTGGTGAGAGGCTGGCCCAGGCAGGAGGGGGACACCTCGGACATGGCGCCCTCCCTATGGAGAGCTGCAGGGGACGGAGGCGCAGGTGGCGTCTGCTGAGGCTCAGGCACGGCTGTCTTCTCACAGAGATTCCCCTTTTCCACGTGCTCAACGCCCGAATCACCTTCAGCAACCTGTGTGGCTGTGATGAGCCCCTGAGCTCCGTGTGGGTGCCGGCCCCCAGCTCTGCCGTCCCAGCGTCAGGTATCCCTGTGGGAGAAAGAGGGAGGCTGCGCAGCTCTCTGGTCGCCAAGCCCTGCGGGTTGAGTGTGGCCCCTCTGCCACCTGCGTAGGGAGCCCTTTCCCGTGCGAGGTGGACCCCACTGTGTTTGAGGTGCCCCAGGGGTACAGCGTGCTGGGCACAGAGCGCAGCGAGCCCCTCCGAGATGAGGACGATGACCTGCTACAGTTCGCCATCCAGCAGAGCCTGCTTGAAGCAGGCACCGAGGCGGAGCAGGTGGGACTCGGGCAGGGTGTGGGCTCTGGCCTCTGCAGCCACAGGGCAAAGGTGACAGCTGTGGGCTCCGATGGCTGCAGGTGACCGTCTGGGAAGCCCTGACCAACACCCGGCCTGGTGCCCACCCTCCTCCCCAGGCCACAGTTTATGAGGAACAGCTTCAGCTGGAGCGGTGAGGCCCTCATGGGGCTGGCTGGGTCCCTCCCCCACCAGCCTTGGCTTGTGGGGAGGGGGGCAGCAGGAAGGTCCTAGGACCCTAGGCCCTCTGCAAGGCCACCCTCCATCAGCAGCGCTGTCTGCCGCCAAAGGTGACATGAGGGGCGGGGAAGCAGGGCCCTGCCTCGTCTCCTCTCCCTGCCACCCTGTCTTTACCCTTGTCCTCTAAAACCAGTCCCCAGCCCCTTGGCTTCCGCCCCAGCCTTGGTGCTCACCAGCCTGCTCTTCCCTCCCATGCCCTGCCTGGAAGGGCCCTCCAGGAAAGCCTGCGGCTATCCACAGAGCCCAGGGGCCCAGGATCCCCTCCCAGGACACCCCCAGCCCCCAGCCCACCCAGCTTTGAGGAGCAGCTGCGCCTGGCCCTGGAGTTGTCTTCGCGGGAGCAGGAGGAGCGGGAGCGGCGCGGGCAGCAGGAGGAGGAGGACTTACAGCGGATCCTGCAGCTGTCACTCACTGAGCACTGAGCCGCAGCCCCCGAGAGCGCGGCCGGCCCCCCCTGCCCGCTTTTCTAATTTATTTATTTATAAACTCTGCTGCTGAGCTTGGGGCCTGGAGCCCCAGTGTTGGGTGGGCAGGGGAGACAGATGGAAATAAAAGAGACTGCTGCAGCAGGGCTGCTCTGCTGACTGGCCTGGAGCCGTGGGGACCCTGAAGGTGGGGCGCTGAGGAGACACTGGGTGGCAGCCCAGACCTGGGCTTGAATCCTGCTCACGGTCCCCTCAGCCTCTCTGAGCCTCAGTTTCTTCAGTTGTAAAATGAGGAGACCACCCCCCACCCTCTGCCCCTCAAGGCTGAAAGAAGCTGGAGAGAGTCATGTGTCCTTACCAAGCAGGCTCCTGTGAAATGTCAGTTCCCCCTCGCCGTCCCACCTGCTGGGGACCCGGTTTGTCCTGCCTCCCAGCCTGGCCTTACTGGAAACCGGCCCACGCGCCCGTTGGGGAGGGAAAAGCTGGGTCCCCAGACCTCATTCACCTCCAGCTGGGAAGAGCCCCCAGGCCGCTAACCGCCGCAGCCAAGGCCCGGCTGGCCCTGACTGGGGCGCATTCCCTGCAGGTGGCTTTGTGCAAGTCACTTCCCTCTGCGCAGCCGGGAGCCACGCCTTGCTCGCCTCCGAGGTGGGAGTTTCCTGGGTTATTTCTAAACCCCAGGCTGATTTCCCCGGAAGCCTCTCTCCCAGTGGGAGCGGGAAGGCCGACCAGCAGGGAGTAATGTTTGTGGTGGCGGCTTCTGGCTGAGGGCGCGCCTTGCCTGATCCTCTCTAGACCTGTGGCCCCGCCTCTGTCTCGCTAGGACCCTCCTCTGCCCCACACAGGACGCTGGAGGCCCAGAACAGCTCAGGTGCTCCCGCAGGGCTGCCCGGGCCTGGCGCTTCCTGGGAAGGGGATCAAACTCCCGGCCTCGCGCTCCTGCCCCCCTGTCTCCCAGCTCTGCACCTGCGCTCGTCCCCGACCTGTGCCCGGGGCAGGCCAAACCGCGGAGACCGGAGGGGCGGGGTCCGACGGCCCCGAGAAGCTCCGCCGGCGCGGCTGGGCCAGTGTCTGGCCCTTTAAGGGCCGCCCCCGAGGAGGTGCCAGGCCCGGGTAGCGACGTCTCTCCTTCCTGGTCCTGCGGGGCCGGGACTGTCCGCGGGGCTGAGGGACAGGGCCGTGCCCGGTGCCAGCCCAGGTGCCCCCGGCCTGGCCCCATGGCCCTGGTCACAGTGAGCCGCTCGCCCCCGGGCAGCGGCGCCTCCACGCCCGTGGGACCCCGGGTGAGTGTGGCCTGGCCGTGGTGCCGCCCACGCAGTTGCTGCCCGGGCCCGAGAGCCTGTCCTGCCCGCCCGCGGGCTCGCCTTTAGCGGGGACGTGCGGAGGGGGACCTGGGACTCGGGCTGGAGGGTGCTGGGGGCCTCGAGGTTCTCTGGTACTGGCGCCAGGAAAAGATCCAGAGCCCTGCGCGCCGCCCGGGCTGAGGAGGCCCAGATCTGGGCGCGCCCGCCACCCTCAGCGCCCACCCAGCTGACCTGGCCTTGGGCCGGGGCTGCGTGGGGCCTCTTGGTGGGGCGTGGACTGGGGTGGGAAGACAAATGGCATCTTGTGCCTTTTCTGGCCTTCCTCCACCCCCAGAATTCCTGAGAGAGGGGAGAGGACAGCGCTTCCCGCGCTCACCCTCCCCTGGGGCTGCTCTCTCGGCAGGACCCGGCGGTCCAGCGGAGGAGTCGACTCCAGCGAAGGTGAGCGCCGCCTCCCCCACGCAGACACTTCCGTCAGCCCGGGACCTGGCCACGGCCATCCTGGACTCCGGGTGCAGGGACAGAAGGCTCCCCGGAGGACGCGCAGCCGAAGCCCACTGCCAAATTTGTGGGGCAGTGTTCCCGGTGGCACCGGTTGGTGGGCTAGGCAGCCAGGCGGCCTTGGCCTTCACCCTCCCCCTGGTCAACTGGTGCTTCCTCATCCACTGCCCTGGGCTTTGGCTCAGGTGGTGGCCACGGGCCAAAGGGCAAGAGGCATGATGGACCTGAGGACTCCTGGGTCTCCAACCAAGTTCCCAGCAGCCCCTGAGTTAGGCAGGTGGGAGGGAAGGAGAGCAGGCCCCTCACCCAACAGACAAGAGTAGAGGGGCTGAGAGCTTGGAAGCCTGCAAGACTGGTTTTCAGCGTGGTGGCAGCATTGCCAAGGGGCCGGTTAAAAGTGCGGATGCTCAGGCCTCCACTGCAGACCTATTGACCGCGTGGGGGCCCATGAATCCGTGTGGACAAGGCCTGCAGATGAATGTGATGCATGCTAGACTTTGAGAGCCCCTACCCTAAAGGGGATGAGGGGCCATGACAGTTTCCCACTGCCCCACCAGGCAGAGCTTTGCAGTGCTCCGAGGGGCTGTCCTGGGACTGCAGGATGGAGGGGACAATGATGATGCAGCAGAGGCCAGTCCTGAGCCATCAGAGGAGCCCCCAAGTGAGGAGCAGCCCCGTGGGGACCAGGTAGACTTCGGGCAAGGACCCCAGAGTCCCCAGAAACAAGAGGAGCAGAGGCAGCACCTTCACCTCATGGTGCAGCTGCTGAGGCCGCAGGACGACATCCGCCTGGTGAGGGCCCATCTGGAAGAGACATGCCTGAGGGCACGGGAGAGAGGGCAGAATGGTGCCTGTGTGTATGTGCTTGTGGAACAATGGTGTGAGGGCAGGGGGCAGCCTGGGGAGTGCTGGGGTTACCCAGACTCCAGTGATCCTGCTGTTTCAGAAGAGGCAGAAATGTTCTGACTGGGTGAGGTCATGGCTGCAGGTCTCTGAAAGGGAAGGAACAGGGGAGGTTTGTCCTGTGTGAGCCAACAGGGCCAGATTAGGTCCAAGAGGTGGGAACTCTGCAGAGGCAGGTTTCTTCTCAACCAGTAGAGGATTTTCCTGATGGCATGAGCTGTCCTGAAATGGACCAGTGCCCAAGGCAGGCTTGCTGGACACCCACTGGGGGCGGGACTGGGCAGACGGGAGGAAGATTCCAGCCCCATGGAGGAAGGGAAGCCAGGTGGAGCCGGAACTGGGGCCCAAATGCTGTGGAGATAGCTCACTGTCCGCAGCGAGACGTGGCAAACCAGAGGCACTGCGTCTTCTGTAAAGCTGGATTTACAATAGAAGAAGCATCATCCGCTTCTGTGAGAGTATGTCCTTAATATTTCTTTGGTGATAAACATTTCTTGAATGAAATGATAGCAATGGCAAGTGAACAGGGTTTAAAAAAACCAAACACCCCAAAACCTCCTCCTTACTGGGCACAGTGGCTCACGGCTGTGATCCCAGCGCATTGGGAGGCTGAGGTGGGAGGATCACGTGAGCCTGGGAGTTTGGGGCTGCAGTGAGCTGTGACAGTACCACTGCACTCCAGCCTGGGCAACAGAGACCCTGTCTCAAAAACAAAACAACCTCCATCCTTGGCAGAAATAAAAAATGGGCAACCTGTGTCAGTCCCGTGCCCTGCTTTTTTCCACACCATCCCTCTTTAGCCACTGATTTTATATCTGGGAAGAGAGGAGATGGGAAAGGAGGGAGCAGGGTCAGTGCTATTCTGGACCTGGGGGCGTCCAGGTGGGGAGCAGGGTCCTTGGGGCCACTGTGACCCTGGGCTCCTCATCCTCCCCAGGCAGCCCAGCTGGAGGCAGCTCGGCCTCCCCGGCTCCGTTACCTGCTGGTAGTTTCTACACGAGAAGGAGAAGGCCTGAGCCAGGATGAGACGGTCCTCCTGGGTGTGGATTTCCCTGACAGCAGGTGCGAGCAGGGAGAGCGGGGGAGAGGCAGAGGTGAGGGACAGGGGGTACAATGGCTCTCCCTCTGTCCCCTGCCAGCTCCCCCAGCTGCACCCTGGGCCTGGTCTTGCCCCTCTGGAGTGACACCCAGGTGTACTTAGATGGAGACGGGTAAGCAATGGCAACTGGAGCAGGGGGCAGGAGGGTGGAATTACCATGTGCCACAGATATGACGGGGCCTGGGCACCGGGGTACAGTAGAACTCTAGGCTGGGACTCTGGTGCCTGCTCCCAGCTCCACCTCAGATTCACTGTGATCCTGAGCAAGGCACCTGACTCCCGGGCCTTGGCTTCCTGTGTCTGGCCAAAGGGCAGGTTCTCTGTCACAGAGGCTGGAGTCTGGCTTCACCGGCACCTTCTCTCCTGCAGGGGCTTCATCGTAACATCTGGTGGGCAGAGCCGGATCTTCAAGCCAATCTCCATCCAGACCATGTGGTAAGGACAGACGCTGACTGGACTTGGGCCAGCCTCTCTTTCTAAGAAGGCTGCAGGGCCTGGGGAAGGCAGCAGGGGACAGAGTGACCCAGCTTCTCCTCCTGTCCTAGGGCCACGCTCCAGGTATTGCACCAGGCATGTGAGGCAGCTCTAGGCAGCGGCCTTGTGCCCGGTGGCAGTGCCCTCACCTGGGCCAGCCACTACCAGGAGAGACTGAACTCCAACCAGAGCTGCCTCAATGAGTGGACAGCTATGGCTGACCTAGAGTCTCTGCGGCCTCCCAGCACCGAGCCTGGCCGGTCAGTGCAGGGAGGGGAGGGCCTGGGTGGAGGGGAAAACAGGACAAGGGGGGATCGGGGGGCATGGCAGAGAGGGGAAGGGGCCCCTTGACTGCGGGGCTCTGCTCCCAGGCCCTCAGAACAGGAGCAGATGGAGCAGGCGATCCGTGCTGAGCTGCGGAAAGTGTTGGATGCCAGCGACCTGGAGAGCGTCACTTCCAAAGAGGTAGGCAGGGGGCCTGGGGCAAGTCCCCTCCAGCAGGGACCACAAGCTTGTCTCTCCTGGGAGCCCTCCCCACCTGGCCAAGTTCTGACCCATTCCTGGATGTTTTGGCCTTGGCCCTAGTCTGTCTAGATGGGACAAGGTGTTGTCCTCAGAAGCCCCAGAGGGAAGGTGGGGGGTCAGGCACTTGGAGAGCCCCAGCCTCTCTTGCCCTGGGCTCTGCCTGCAGATCCGCCAGGCCCTGGAGCTGCGCCTGGGGCACCCCCTCCAGCAGCACCGTGACTTCATAGACAACCAGATGCTGCTGCTGGTGGCGCAGCGGGACCGGGCCTCCCGCATCTTCCCCCACCTCTACCTGGTGAGCTGCCGCTGGGCCTGGGCCATGGGGACAGCTGGCAGCTGCGAGAGCAGCGGGGTCCCAGAAGCAGAGGCTGGAGAAAAGGGAGAATGTGCTGCTCCCTCTCTCCCAGGGCTCAGAGTGGAATGCGGCTAACCTGGAGGAGCTGCAGAGGAACAGGTAAGGCTATGAGCCCCTGGGGCCACCCACCCCATCTTCCCTTCTCCTGGCCTCCTTGCATTGGGTGGTAGCCAGCTTCAGAAACTACCCTCAGCAGCTGCTAGCTCTGCTTCTAACTCTGTCCTGGGGCTATTACCCTGGTGTGGGTGCCCAGGTCGGGACAGGAAACCCGCTGGCCAGCCCCGCCCACTCTCCTCCCCTCCCCCACTGTGAAACAAGGACAGAAACAAAGGGCCTCAGCCACGCCAAGACGAGAAGCAGCAGAGCCCACTGCTGTAACTGCCTTGGACAAGCAGAAAAACGGTCCTCTTGGCTGGGCGTGGTGGTGCACACCTGCAATCCCAGCTACTCGGGAGGCTGAGGCAGAGAATTGCTTGAACCTGGGAGGCAGAGGTTGCAGTGAGCAGAGATCACACCACTGCACTCCAGCCTGGGCAACAGAGAGAGACCCTGTCTCTAAAAAATAAGAAAAAAGAGAGAAAAAGCCTCTTCTCCACCTGGCCCTTTCCCAGGGAAGAAGGAACTGGCCTCCTCCCTGTGGGGACCTAGCTGCCTGCTCTGACAGGTACTTGTCATCTGTCCACCATGGGCTTCTGGGAGACCTGCTGTATCTGTCGCCCCACTGCTGCAGACCCACCCATGCTCAGCTTAGCTCAAAAGCTGTCCTCTAACTTCTGAGAGGAACGGAAGGGCTGGAGTTGCAGTTGACCCAGCTGACTGGACTAGATGGGGAAGCAGGCCTAGCAGGGTCAAATGATTGGTTCAAGGTCTCAGCCATCTGACAGCTGAGTCCGTTCTCCTCCCACTGTCACTGCTGCCTCCATCTGACTTGAAACTCAGCTAAACAGAGGCCCAGGTTCTGCCAGGTCCGATGGCCAGTGGCCCTGGTACCTTTGCCCACGTCAGCCTCGCCTTGGGCCCTCTGGGACAGGGTCACCCACATCTTGAACATGGCCCGAGAGATCGACAACTTCTACCCTGAGCGCTTCACTTACCACAACGTGCGCCTCTGGGATGAGGAGTCGGCCCAGCTGCTGCCGCACTGGAAGGAGACGTACCGCTTCATTGAGGCCGCAAGGTCAGCCCCCGGCTCCCCTGCCCGCCCTGCTGTGGCTTCACGCGGCCCCCAGTGCCCTCCTCTTGCCCACTCTGCCATCAGCTCTGCCGTTCCTTCCAGCCCCCAGTGTCCTTGCCTCCTGCTCTACTCTCAGCTGCTTGTGAGCCCTTTACCTGCCCTCCCCCACAGCAGGCGAGTCCTTCATAGTCGGGGGAGGGTGCTGACCCTGTCCTGCCTCCACAGAACACAGGGCACCCGCGTGCTGGTCCACTGCAAGATGGGCGTCAGCCGCTCAGCGGCCACGGTGCTGGCCTATGCCATGAAGCAGTATGGCTGCAGCCTGGAGCAGGCCCTGCACCACGTGCAGGAGCTCCGGCCCATCGCCCGCCCCAACCCCGGCTTCCTGCGCCAGCTGCAGATCTACCAGGGCATCCTGACTGCCAGGTATGGGATGGGGTGAGTAGGTTGGTTTGTGGGGTGTGGCTGCTGGGTCACTCAGAGCTGACTCAGGGCCACCTCCTCACAGTCGCCAGAGCCATGTCTGGGAGCAGAAAGCGGGTGGGGTCTCCCCAGAAGAGCACCCAGCCCCTGAAGTCTCTACACCATTCCCGCCTCTTCCGCCAGAACCTGGGGGTGGTGGGGAGGAGAAGGTTGTGGGCGTGGAGGAGAGCCAAGTAGCCCCAAAAGAAGAGCCTGGGCCACGGCCACGTATCAACCTCCGAGGGGTCATGAGGTCCATCAGTCTCCTGGAACCCTCCTTGGAGCTGGAGAGCACCTCAGAGGCCAGTGACATGCCAGAGGTGAGGCTAGGACTCCGGGAGCTCGGCCTGCAGGGGTGGGGACCAGAAGGAGGGAGGTGGGGAAAGACCAGGACGGCGTTTGACCGTAGGCCCGAGCAGGGCGTACCTGGGCTCGGTCTGGCCCACCCACGCAGGGTGTCCTGGGAGGACCCTGGGGGCCTGGTCCCAGCCTCCTTCACAGTCAGCCTAATACCTCTGAGCACGAGGCATCTCCAGCCCATCCCATGAGTATCTTTGAAGACTGGGACCAGCCCTGTCCTGGGCTCCAGTGAGGGCAGGTGGGGGCGCTGCAGGCACAGGCTGGAGAGGGGCCACGGGCAGGACAGGAGGCAGTTCCCAGGGCTCCTGGGCGAACCAGCCCTGGCCAGGGTGGCAGGCGTGTTCCAGACTGACCACAGAACTAGCTGTCTAAGGGGCAGAGCTGCCTCCCCAGGCCACAAGCTCCACAGCCACCTGCTGGCCCTGGGGGCGTCTCTAACCCCCTGGTGAGCGGAGGGTAAATGAATCTCCGTAGCCTCTCTTGGATCTGAGGAGCAGCACCTCCAAGCGTTCAAGCAGTTGAGGTGCAGAGGGTCTGTGTACTCACGCCACCCAAGTCCTGCCTAAGTGAGCACCCTCGACGCTCAGTGCTGTGGGCACAAGCAAAAGACTGGGAGCCAGGCCCTGTGTGGGACTCAAGGCCAAATGGCTGACTTGGAAGAAGGAGCATCCACTGAGGGCAGGAACATTTGGGAGAGGCTTCCTGGAGGAGGTGTGGGTGGGGAAGGATAGGGAGGCATGGTGGGTTGGTGGGTGGGTGTCTGTGTTGCTAAAGGCAGGGGGTCCTCACCCAGCACTGACACCCGCATCCACCCAGCCCAGGTCAGGGGCTGGTGCAGGCATGGTTTCACCCGCTGGCTGCCTGTGCAAAGGCAGAGGAGGGATAGGAGGAGTGGAGGGCAGGGAGGCCTGGGTCTCAGGGGAGCTGAGGAGGGCTGCTGGGGGCCAGAAGGAAGCTATAGGCAGGTAGGATTCAAGGAGCAGGGCAGCAGGGCGGGGGTGTTGTCCTCCCCCCGGGGAAGCATGGCTGTGGACAGATTGGCTTTTGGTGTGTGTGCCGCAAACATTCCGCCCCTCACCTCTTCCCGGCTCTGCTTGGTGCCCCTGCCCCGGAAAGGCCTCCCATGGCTTCTGTATCCTCGCACCTGTCCAGGTTTTCTCTTCCCCTGAGTCTTCATATGAAGAGCCTCCGCACCCCTTCCTGCAGCTTGCAAGGACCAAGGGAGGCCAGCAGGTGGGCCGGGGGCCGCAGCCGGCCCTGAAGTCCCGCCAGTCAGTGGTTGCTCTCCAGAGCGCCGCCCTCGTGGCCAGCCGGACCCAGGTCTTCCAGGAGCAGAGGCAGGGAGAGCCCGGCATTTCCTCTACACCCAGGTTCCGGAAGGTGGTGAGGCAGGCCAGCGTGGATGACAGTGGAGAGGAGGGCGAGGCCTGAGCCCTCACACACACCCATGTTCCCCTAGACACTAAATAGAGGGTCCACAGCTCCTCAGGGAAACGCCCTCATGTCTCCGGCAGCCCCATTCCTCTCAGCTCCTCCCACGACAGCTCCTCCCCTCACTACAGCCACACCTCCCACAGCCCTAAGTGCCAGACCCATGTCCACCTGCCGGGGGCTCAAGGCTTTCTAACTGGGATGTGGTAGAGGGACCGAAGGTGCCATTGGCGGCAACCGCATCCTAGTTTCATTCTCACCTCTTGCTCTGAACATTCACCTGCAGTCACAGAATAAAAACAGAGCTTCCAGTGCAGAAAGGCTCCTGTTCCCCACTCCTGCCCATCCCTGTGCCTCCCATCCTTCCCCAGTTCATTCCTGGAACCAGCCAGGCCAGGGAACCCCTGGCCCCAAAGGCAGGCAGTACCCTCAGCCCCAGCCGCAGGAGGCTTGAGGGGTGGCAGGTCGCTGCCCCCATCCACCTCAACCCGTCCAGGTCTTTGCTGCTGTCCCCAGACCTCCTGCATCACTGCGCTGGATCACAGGGCACCAGGCCAGAGAGAGTCTTCTTTTTGTCCTTTATGGTCTCTGGCTAGTCAGGTTTTCATAGTCTTAGAGTATCTGGCTTTGTACTGAGAAATAAAACACATTTTCATATTCGATTATTTTCAATCTGATGATGATGATGAAGCCATCTCTATCGCAGTCAGACCCTTCTTAGCTTGCCATGGAGGGTGGCTGCCCATTCCTCCCAGCAATTTCCTCACGATTCCCAGGTGTCTTGATACAGACCTATTCGCGGGGGAGCGTCGTGTTTGGGCGTGGTGTGGGAGGAAGCTTGGGTAACAGAGGAGAGGAGGTCAGTGCTGTCTCCTCATCTCCTGGGGCAGGGCTGGTGAATGTTAGCTGCCCACACCCGCTCAGGCAGGTCGGGCAAGGGAACAAGTCCTTACCGGACAGCAGGCATGTGCTCTGCTGCAAGAGCTGGAGGGAGTTACTCATGAGGAAGTGCCTACCTGGACAAGACCAAGCCTGTTCCAAAAGTGAAGATGCCTTCTGGACAGTGATGCCCGCTCTATGGCATATTTTGGGCCCCAAGACTCATCTTCCTCCTGCTACAATGCAAAAGGGCCTGATTTCCAAGCCAGCCTATTGCTACCTGGGAAGAGGGACCCTTGGTGACCCTTCTTCTCCTGCCTAGGGGTTCCTTCTGCTCAACTTCAGTGTCCAAGAAAAGTTAGTCGTTCCATCTTTTTTTTTTTTTTTTT